GCCACTCCTCGAGAGGAAGATGGGGCAATCTACTTCCATAGTGATACTGCCTCGGAAACCCAAGGAGGGGTTGCTATGAGTAAGGTCTGACTCAACAGCACACAACAACTACAACAACAAGGTCTTTGAAGACTAGGAGGTGGAATCATTCCCATTTTACTGAAGAATAAAGGAAAGAAAAGTAATCTATTTTGTCAAAGGATGACTGCATGTCATGGGCAGAATAGTCCTCCAAGCCCCAGTGACACAGAATGGATGGTAGAGCCCAAATTCTATAGTCTGACCCTCCTTGCCATCTCCAGTGTGTTAGATGCTGTCAAGTCTACTCCAGTGTATAGTGACCCTATGTACAATGGAACAAAACACTGCCAAGTCCTTCGCCAATTCCTTTAGTCCTGGTCTTGGGGTGGTTTCGTGAACATATTATCTCCTCCCCCCTTTTTGCATTACTAAGTACATTTTCAAAGCCAGGTTTGTTTTGTTCTGTTAGTTGATGAGTCTATTTTCTGGCTACTCTATATCTACTTGTCTTCCCCCAGTGCCAGTCATCTGTTGCTTTCCTACAAGTAATGAAGAGGGCTTGGCTGCTTATCAGTATCTGTCTGGAACTTTATTTCAACAGAGAAGTGGTTCTCAAAGGTAGGCTCTGGTGAGGTCCACAGAAATTGTGGTCCATGGTCAAGCTGCTTTGTCCAGATACAAGCAGTCACAACCCCAGCACACACCTCTAAAACCAGAGTCAGCATACAGATGGTGATATAAACATATCTCCCCAAAACAAAATCATTTCATAAACAATTAAAGTGGAAATATATTCTGTAAAGCAGGTGTTTTCACAAAGTCATTTCAAGGAAAACAAAATAAGACTTTTATTTTTAAAATCTAGTTGATGCCATATTGCCTTTAGGGTGAAAACAGCATCAACAAACATTAAGGGGAAGGTAGAAGAAAGAGTTTAAAGGTGCCACCTCAATTTCTTCCCAATATTGAGGTCCAGGTATTCATCCAGAAAGCTGTTTGCAATGCCCAGAGTGCCCAGGAGAGTCAATACAACCAACATCACTAGACTCAACCGGAAACCTGTGATCCTGCAGACGTGAGGGAGAGAAGTGACAAATGAGTGTAACAATGAAGATGGCAAGTCCTAGCTAGGCTGCCCACTGTTGACACTGCCCTGAACTTGCATGCTTTTGCCATTTGAAAGGTTTGATTCACCCCTTAAAGAAGATGTCTAGTCAGCCGGGCTAATTGGCTTCTTTGAATATACAAAGAATTATCAAGACTGGGCAGAATTAATGCCCTGGAAACTTTTTATAAACAGTGCACAATTTCTGAAAGGATTTAAAGTATAGTGGTCAAGGAGTACTCATTCAGTGCACAATTTTATACTTGTATTTTGCCATCTCACTCCTAATGGTATATGGCTTCTGGCAACATGGATTGCTTTTGCATCCATAAGCATCAGTGCTGTGAATACTTCTCACTAATCCAGACTCCATCCTGATACTTTTTGCCTAACTGCACAATTGTTGGGTTCGTCTTACCTTTTTTTAACAGCTTCTGAATAGCCACAGAAGTACTGGTGGCGAGCATACATATACACCAGGCCCAGAAAAGAAGCAAAAACTGTAGAAGGAAAAAAAAAAAAAAAGAAATAGAGTATGATGGTCATCTCTCAATATGTGGGATCAAGACTGAAAAAATACTTACAAAACATATCTGACAAAAGGCTTATATCCAGGATATATAGAGACACTTTCAATTCAATAATAAAAGAAAAAAAAATTTAGATAGTCAAAAGATTTGAATATTTGTTGTTTTAGTTGCCATTGAGTTGCTCCAACTCACAGCAACCCTATATACAACAGAACGAAACACTGCCTGGTCCTGTGCCATCCTCCCAGTCCTGGCTGTACCTGAGCCCATCGTTGCAGCCACAGTCTCAATCCATCTTGTTAAGGGTCTTCCCCTTTTTCACTGACCCTCCACTTTACTTAGTATAATATCCTTCTCCAGGGAATATGGTCCCTTTTAACAACATGACTGAAATAGGTGAGACAAAGTTTGATGATAGTCGCTTCCAAGGAGCATTCCGGCTGCACTTCTTCTAGGACAGATTTGTCCATTCTTCTGGTAGTTTATAGTATTTTCAGTATTCCTCACCAACACCATAATTCAAATGCATCAACTCTTTTTTAGTCTTCCTGATTCATTGTCCATCTTTCACATGCATATGAGACAGTTGCAGATACTACGGTTTTGGTTAGGTGCACCTTAGTCTTCAAGGTGGCATATATGCTCTTCAACACTTTAATGAGGTCTTTTGCAGCAGATTTGCCCAGTGCAGTACGGTGTATGATCTCTTGACTGCTTACTTCCATGGACAGTAAACAAAATAATTAGAACACTGCATGGGTGTTGATTGTGGCTCCAAGCAAAATAAAATCGTGGACAACTTCCATCTTTTCTCCATTTATTGTGATGCTGTTTATTGTTCCAGTTGTGAGAATTTTTGTTTTCTTTATGTTGAGGTGTGATCCATATGGAAGACTGTAGTCTTTGATTTTCATCAGTAAGTACTTCAAGTCATCTTCACTTTTAGCAAGCGAGATTGTGTAATCTGTTTATCACAGGCTGTTAATGAGCCTTCTTCCAATCCTCATGTCATGTTCTTCTTCATACAGTCCAGCTTCTTGGAATATTTGCTCAGCATACAGATAGAATAAGTATGGTGAAAAGGTACAATGCTGACACATACTTTTCTTGATTTTACACCATGCAGTATCCCCTTGTTCTGTTTGCACAACAGCCTCCTGCTCTATGTACAGGTTCCTCATGAGCACAATCACGTGTTCTGAAACTCCCATTCTTCCCAATGTTATCCATAATTTGTTACGATCCACACAATCGAATGCCTTTGCATAGTCAATAAAACACAAGTAAACATCTTTCTGGTAGTTTTTGCTTTCAGCCAAGATCCATCTGACATCAAAAATGATATCCCTCATTCCATGTGCTCTTCTGAATCCAGCTTGAATTGCTGACAGTTCCCTGTCGATGTACTGCTGCAACTCTCTTTGAATTATCTTTGGCATAATGCTACTTGCATATGGTATTCATGATGTTGCTCAATAATTTCCACATTCTGTTGGATCACATCCAGATATGGCTGAACACTGACCAATTCTTTTTGGTACAGTGGTCCTATGTATTCCTTCCATCTTCTTGTGGTGTTTCCTCATCATTCAAATTTTGCCCATAGAATCCTCCAATATTACAACTTGAGATGTTCGGTTTTTTAACTCCAAGTCTTAGCATATTTCATTATAATGCTTTGCTTTGTCTTCTGGAGTTACTCTTTGAAATATTCTGTTCAGTTCTTTTATTTCACCATTTCTTCCATTTACTTTAGCTATTCTATGTTCAAGAGCAAGTTTCAGTGTCTCTTCTGACATCCATTTTTTTTCTTTTTAATGACCTTTTATTTTCTTCATGTATGATATCTTTGATGTCATCCCACAACTCATCTGGTCTTCTATCATTAGTATTCAATGTGTCAAATCTATTCTTTAAAGTATTTTGAGTCTTGTGGACTTGTTTTAAATTTCTTCATCTTCAACTTCAACTTGCATATGAGCAATTGGTGGTCTGTCCCACAATTGGCCCCTGGCCTTGTTCTGACTGAACAAGTTTCCATTGTCTCTTTCCACAGATGTAGTCTATTTGATTCCTGTGTATTCCATTCAGTGAGATCTACCTGCGTAGTAACCATTTATGTGGTTAAAAAGAAAAAAAAGATACTTGCAATGAATAAGTTGTTGGCTTTGCAAAATTCTATCATGTGGTCTATGGCTCATTTCTATCACCAAAGCCTTATTTTCCAGCTACTGAACCTTCTTCATTGTTTCCCACCCTTGCATTCCAAGCACCAGTAATTATCAATGCATCTTGATTTCAGACTGCAGAAGTTGGTAGAAATCTTCAGTTTCTTCATCTCTGGCATTAGTAGGTAGTAGGTAAATTTGAATAATAGTCATATCAACTGGTCTTTCTTGCAGATGAATGGATATTATCCTATCCCTAACAGTGTTGTATTTCAAAGTAGATCTTGAAATATCAATGAATAGGACATCATTCCTGTTCAATTTGTCCTTCTTGGCATGGTAGACCATAAGTTTATCCAATTCAAAATGGTCAATACCAATCCATTTCTATTCACTAATGCCTAGGATATCAATATCCCAAGTATTCCATTTAAGTTTTGACAACTTCCAATTTTCCCTGATTCATACTTCGTATATTCCACATTGTAATTATTAATGGATGTTTGCAGCTATTTCTTCTCAGAAGAAACCTTAGGGACCTTTTTTTGTTTTCATCAGCACCTCACACAAGTTGCCATAAACCCTTTGTAAACATTGGAGTCTATCTGTGAGACTCTGATATTACTGGTTATCTTAGTTATTAGTGCCACTAGAACACAAATACAAGTGGATGGCTTTAACAATTAGAATTTTTTCTTTCATAGTTTAGGAGGCTAGAAGTCTGGATTCAGAGTACCAGTTCTAGGAGAAGGCTTTCTGTGTGTGTGTCTCCTGGTTCTAGGAGGTTCCCAGCTCAGGGACCCTGGGTGCAAAGGATGGGCTTCTCTCCCTGCTCTTCTTTCTTGGTAGTAGTAGGTCCCTCCCTTTCTACTTGCTTCTCCCTCCTGTAATCCCTTGTAAGGTAAGAGGTGTTTTAGGTCACACCCCAGGGAAACTCCCCTTACATCCGATCAAGCCTGTGATGGGATTAATGGCATCACATCCCACCCTAATCCTCTTACAACTGATTGGCTTGTCATATCAGATCACATCATGGGGGAATCATTACATAACTGCCACATTATATCATTGCATAACTGCCAAACCGACGAGAATCATGGCTCATATTTTGTGGGGATACAATTCAATCCATGGCACTGGGTAAAATTACTTTCATTATTTTATTTGGTTACAAACTCTTTTTACTTCTACTATACACCAGGTATTATTCTAAGCATTGAAAAGATAGAAAAGCTACCTGCCTTTATGGAGCTTTTATTGTATCAGCAGATGGACAATAAACAAAATAATTAGAAGAACACTGCAGACTTGAATGTGCCATAAAGAAAATGAAGAGAAATGGGAATTGGAGCAGACTGCCTTTAGGAAGGACCAGGGAAGACCTCCCTGAGGAGATGATGATCAGGCTAGGGTCTGAAGGATGGGAATAAGGGAGCCAAGCCAAGAGTTGGAGAAATGGGATTAGAACCAACTGGTGTCTCAGGAAGCCTAAGGATTCTGAGCACACTCCTGTTTTGAAACTCCCTATCTAACTAATTGCTCCAATAAAACCAATGAGAACTGTTCAGGGGCAGTTAAGAATTAGGCAACTTACTTTAGAAGAGAATGAATGAAGGAAAAGAGTAGTGAGAAGACATTCAAGAACTCCTTTCCTGACTGGCAGTCCCTAACAGTGAAATGCAGCAGGTCAGTTAGCAGAGCCTGAGTTCCATTATCAAATAGCACTTTTCTTATTAGTTGTTAATGTGATTTTACTTGACAGCCACTCTCATTCATGCCCTTAGAGACAAAAGTGTGACTTGAAATCAAGTTAAGAAGTCTTTTCCTAAAGAATACTTTATCTGAAATTCCTCAGTTGATGGTAAAAATGACAAGAAAGAGTCATGGCCTTTGAATGCCACTGGATTTCGCTTTTATTTAGATCATAGGGATCAAGTGTCAGACCCAAATAAAATAAGGCAATGAAAATTCCCAGAAAGCAAAGGGCATGAAATTTCTCCAACTGAGGTAACTGATGCTATGTCCAAGTCCTTGTTAAAGGAACAGACGTGTTTGGGTAAAGCTTTCAGCTCACCAAGGGTGTCTCAGTCAAATAGCAAGTAGATGTTTGTAGAGTTACTAGGTACAAATAGCAGCACTATAGCCTTGAGAACCTTTAAGAAAAGGTTCAGGGGTAGTTGGGACAAATACCTATATGCTCTGCTCTATCCTTGAAAGCTAATTTTTCCCTGTATTGGTTAAGGTCAAGTTGGACAAATTACTTAACCTCTCTGTATCTCAGATTCCTCATCTGTAAGGTAGGAATGACAGAACCTACTCCATAGGGATATTTTAAATGGTATAAATTATATCCATGCCCTAATGTAAGTGTAAAATTTAAAACTTGTCACATAGTAAGTTCACAATACATATTAACTATAATTTAAAATATATATATTTAATTGTGATTTTGGAGAATATTTACATAGCAGATTAGGTTCTCATTTAACGATTTATATACATATTATTAAGTGCATTGGTTATACTTTTTGTAATATGTCAACATGCATTCTCACTATTTCCATTCTGATTGTTTTGTTTCCATTAATCTAGCTTCCTTGTGCCCCCTTAGTTTCTCATCTTTGGTCGAGAGTAAATGTTGACTGCTAGGTGTCAATTAGATGATTATTTTAAGGAGCATAGTACTAATAGATGATATTATTTATTTTATGAGCCACTCTATCATTTGACTGATAGGTAACCACTGGGAGTGGTTTGAGTTCCAATATTGAAAGGTACTCCAGGGCAATAGTCTTGAGGGATCCTCTAGTCTCTACCACTCCAGTAAGCCTGGACTTTTATGTTGTTGTT